AAGTTTTTGTCAAGTTATTCTTGTTTAAAGTTATAAAAAATTTTTATTATAAAAAATTTGCTTGATTTCTATTGACTAACCCCATATAGTAAAATTATATATTAGTTTCTGAAGATAAAATCAATCGGAATAGTTGTCATATCATATTTCTGCTCGAGGCCGACCACCAGAATCAGTTTGTTTTTTTTTTATTACTCGAAGAATCACTAAGCAATGAATTATTATCAACATTATTTGAAATATTGAAAGAATTAAAGAATTGTTAAACTATTTGTTTTGACTTTATGTAATTTGATAATAGCGATAGTTCAATTGTTTTAATTAATCTCCAGGATTAATGAACGAATCAGGATATTATGATTGCTAGGGTTGTTAATGGAGTAGCATACCCCAGAGCAGCTCTGTAGTGAACCCAACCCAAGTTGGAGTGAACTGGAGCAACTTTAAGCAAATATGGAACGGCTCCGGAGTGAGCCCAACCAATCCATTAACAACCCTAGTTATTATTAATATATTTATAGTTGTAACTGGTTTTATCGTTTTATTTTATCAGTTTATCATGTGATAAAACCTAAAACATAGTGTCGATAAAAAAATTAATAAAACAAATTAATGGACATATTGCGAATAACATCATATGATACTAGCTTATCGAATACTGAAATAAATGTAAAAATAAACTTTAATGATCGTTAGAACCAGGTATATATAAAATATTTTGATTTTTCTTACAATAGAAAAAAATCAATAATCCAATTGCTAAAACAAATAGAAATGCTAAAGTTGTGGTCGATGCTATTAAAGCTACATTAACGTCAGAATTCATTGTTGCTGATTCTTTAGTACTATTGTTAGGATTAACAGGATTATTATTAACGGAACTATTATTATTAACAGGTTTAAATTCATTAATCCACTTGTAATCAAATTTGTCACTTGTATTTAAAATATATACTTCATTCATTGTCAATGATGGTAGATAGAGATCATTTCTTCCAAAAGCCACGATCATATAATGATCAACCAAAGTAGCCGAATGATAGCAACGTGAAGGCGGTGAAAGAGTAGAAACATTTGCTTTTGACCAAGTAAAAACAGATCCTACTGTATATAACACTATAAGATCGTCCGTAACTGGAACCAATGTATTTCGATCAACGTAACCTCCATATACAATAATACGACCATCTTTCGCTATATATAGTATAAAAAAGAGTTATATTTTATGTGAATGAAAAACATAAGTTATAAAAAGAAATTTTATTACTTAAAACCGATGAATGATGTCCTCGAGGTGTAGGCAGATAACCTGTGGTAATCTAATAGGTAAAAATACCGATAAATTAAATATTTGTAGAGTTTAATGTAATTTTTCGATAAAAAAAAAAACATACCATTGAAGACCATGTGTTATCATTGATATTATATAAAGGTATCTAAATTTCATTTAAAGAAAATGTGATCATGACAGCCATAGATACTTATTCATTTATTCAATTCTTACCGTTAATAAATTTACCACACCAGAAGATTCTACACCGCCTATATAGACTATATTACCATTCGGTAATAAAGTAACTGTATAATCAAATCTTCCCGATGGTGCACCAATTAAATTTCCAACTTCCCATGTTAGTGATTTTGTATCAAAAATATTCATGGAAGCATTTACTGTGTTAGAAGTCCCAGAAAACATATACATTTTTCCGGTTTTAAAGTCACAAACCGAACGTGTATGTTTGTTTGGAGGTTGGCCAGAGGTTACTGGATTGCTCCATTGTAGTGTTTTTGTATTGTAAGTAAAAACCAAGTTTGCAGGAGTTGTATTCCCAAAATCGCCACCAAACATTACTAAAGTACTATTTTCGGGTCCGCAAAGCGAAAATGCACTCCAGGAATGTGGTGGAATAATTGACACTGAACTAAGATCTACCCAAGATGTTATAATTTCGGTTATTTTAAAAGGAACTGATACATCTAGATAATAAAATTCTTTTGATTGTGTGGCATATTGATTTGGTGTATTAAAAAAGTCTTTAACATCCTTCCAAATTGTTCCATTTGGAATCACACCACCTGTATAGTATATTTTAGAGCCAACAAGGGCAGTGTTATGCCCCCATACTGTGTTTGTAGGCGTAAATGCCAAAATTAACTTCAGAAATTCATTAAAATAATATAAATAAAATAAGCAGAGTTTGCTTAAACCTGGCATTTTCTGTCTCTTTAAAAGAACTCAATTATTACAATTAAAATTCGAAATTTGGGGAAAATATAGTATAGATGACACCTTAATAATAATCAATTTATTTAAAGTAGATGTCATTTATGCTATATTTTATCACGAAATTTAACTTTTCTAAATGACTTTTTTTTTTTGTAATTTTGTAATCTTGTAATATATACTGTATATATCAATGATTACTATAATTTCCTAGTTTATACCCTAGTTTCTGTCAAAATCGGAGGGTATAAATCAGAGTTCTGTGTTTTCATTTCTGCTTGTACCCATGACACCCAGTGTATAACATAGGTCGAAAGATGGCAAACCAGGCACGTACGTACATACGTACGTACCTGTTCTGGTTTGCCATCTTTCGACCTGTGTAACTATTACTAACATCGTCAATTCCTATAATTTCAGAATTTATAGTACTCTGGGTTAATCACCGATTATCCTTTTTCCTATATTTTAATTTTTTCTTGGAAATACAGTCAGACTCCTAAATGCAATTCCCTCAAATTCTATAGTAGAAATTGTAGAAATAATTTCACCAAAAATTTTATAAAAGTGAAATGCCGAATTAAATTTCAACTGTCGAAATTTATTAAACTGTAAAAATTAATTTATGTACAAAAATCATATTGACCGTTGAAATAAATTTTTGTAATTAGTGAAAAATAATACAAGGTGCTATAGCATCACCTTTACATATGGGTTTGGTGCTGGTAAAGAGACGAATTTGACCAAAAAATAATTTCTACAAAAATTATTTATCGATCGAATTACATGATATTGGTATCAATACTAAAAATCATATAAGATAAATAATTTTTGTGTAGATTATTTTTTGGTTAAATTCGTCCCTTCTCCCGGCACCAAGCCCATATACATGAGTCTTGCCAAGGAAAAGGGGCTACTTTAGACTTTTTGAAATTTTTTTTGATCAAAGATATCTCAACAACTACTTGATTAAAATTAATAATAATTTTTTTATTTAAATTCTACAAAATTTGTAAAATCTAATTAAAAAAATTATTATCAATTTTGATCAAGTAGTTGTTGGGATAACTTTGATCAAAAAAAATTTTAAAAAGTTCAACGTAGCCCTTTTCCCTTGGCAGCACTCATATAATCTATTTGTTTAACATATCAACCTGAGTATTAACGTTGATAAAAAAAATTGTGTACAATCTATATTTCAAACTTACGAGCAGTGTTTAAAATTCAAATTTATAATTATGTTCTCAGAAGAGCTTAATTTAAATTATTAGTGTTCTCAAAAAATTTTTAATGTTCTCCTAAAGGGTTGAATT